TCAACGCGGAGTGACTAGGGCTCGCAACCGTGAAGCCGAACACTAAGAACCGCGGCGATTTAGAACATTCTCTTAAGAGTCCTGGTGGCACCACAGGTTGACAAAAGCTGTTCTAACTTTCGCTATTCGCTATTCCCCAACACCGCCTCCAGCTGTAATCAACCACGCGAGGTACGTAAAGTTCGCAATCCCTTCAAGCTGATCACCACAGAGGGTCAGTGCCGGCACAGAATTGAGATTAAAAACAAACAACCGGACAGTACAGCTAACGAACTAAGAAAACATACACACATGAACAGATGAACTATTATTATATGAATGGGGTAAACAAACGGCAGAGTAAGGGAAATTTGTCAACCGCCTGGTCACTTACCCGTTTAACCCCAGGCAATTCCATCAAGGGAAGTAGTTCGCTAGAGACACAGTAAGCCAGACGAGTGGCAAACTGTGGCAGAAGATGCGAGAAGGCCCACAACTCCTCGTCTGAGGCGTACTCACTGGCCAGTGCATGAGCCAAACAGCTTGCAAGCGAAGCAGCTGAGGCAAGCAGGGACTGAAGCGTACCCCGAGACAATTTGTATCGATCGGCTACTTGCCAGATGGGAAGTGTGGAACTCGAATGCCACAGATCGGATAATGCCAGGGCGACAAACAATCGACGCAACGGACGTTCGTCTAACTTCTGTGGAACAAAATGGTGCACCGATAAGATTGAGTTAGATAATCGGAAGATAAATTTGAGGAAGGGTACCAAAGGTGATCATGCGACGGCTTTTCTAATTACGTGACAGAACGAATTAGAAATATCCGATACAAAAAACACAAAATGCAGCACAGTGTGAAAACGTGAAGTTTGGAGAAAAAAAAATAATAAAATCCTATTACGCTGTGCATTTGCAATCTTCCAGCGGGAAAGACCTAAGAAATACAGTACACAGGCGAGTAAAACGGGATGCAGAATAGGGAAAGTGTACTCAAATAATGACACACTATCTATTGCCACATTGTGTTTGCATTTGTACATGCATGTCAAACATCTCGGGGTTCAGACAACGTGCCAATTAGATAAAGTATCTTTAGAACAAGGAAACGAAGATATGATTAGTTTATGGGAGCAATATTATTAAGTTGTCCAAATCAAAGCAAATCATTGACTTGGGGATCCACCATCAGAGCTTTCGACCAGCCAAAACCTGACCTGCTCAGTGAAGTGGTGTATGAAGATTCCAGTTCATTTAGAGCTGAAATATAGTCAAATCAGTTCAGCTTATGCAACCATTAACCATGCACTATCGTGAGCCCGTTTTGGGTGTTGTAGTCAAATCGAGTGAACGACCTTTCCGATCAGGATACCGTGAAACCGGAAATTAGGGCTTTATGGTTAATGTGATACCTCAACCTAGTAAATTGATATTTCAACTACTCATTTGAGTGGAATTATCCTCAAGATGAGAAACCAGTGAGCACCGGCTCTAGCAGATGCTTCAAGAAACGTATTTTTTGAAACTAAAAATGAAGCCTTTTCTGACCTTGGATGAATCGGGACTATTCGAGGATTAATGCCACGGCACAGGAAAATTTGGCTAAAATTATTCTACAGAAGACAAGACATGGTTTAATAGGCGTGGTGCCATTAAATTGCAGCCGAAAAGCTCAATATGGTCGAGTGGGTATCTCGGTTTGTGACTAGTCACCCATCCCTTGCACCTCGTGAAATGCTCCTATAAGCGTCTTAAACAGCCTCTGAAGAGGAAGCCCTACTCAGTGCCTTCTCGTGGGGCTGTTTTTTCACCAAACTGAGAGAACGAAAAGCCAACATCCAGGTTGGTGAACCACCGGCAGTTCAAGTACGGGAGTTGACTAAAACCCTGATTCCAACCCAAATATAAAGAGGCGTACGAAACACATCCACCTACATTTTGGTTGTGGCACCTTCGAAATTTGACCCCGTTCAAAGGGCACATGATCTGATGACCTGGACGCCAGCCCCCAATGGAATACGGTTCTCCTACACCGTCCAGCTGAATTGCGGATTAGGCTTTGGCTAACCGAAGGCTCCGGTCGTGAATTCTACAAAAAAACACCTGCCTTGGCCTGGGCAACCTGGCATTATTCCGCCCATATGCAAATCATGGAACTCTTGTCTTTTTATAAAGATTATTGTACCGTGATTTGCTTGGTACAAATTCTGGACCAGACGTAGGTGAAATTATATATGCCATTAAATAGGAATAATGTTGGTTAGTTAAATTTCGGACATTTATCAGTGAATCAACAAATCAATCAGGTACATGTGACGTCAAATATAGAATGAATTAAAGACGAGAAACTCATAGCAACATTTCACACGGTTACGCACTTTGCGTATAGGATGTCCAGCGGCTTTCCATAGAACATAACCTTCAGGAAACCCAAGTAGACTGATAAGATTCGCTTCGGTCGGGGGCAAAAGACTGATCCGTTCATACAAGACACTCCAGTCCACCTGAATCTGATCGACTACATCTGGTGGGGCAACCAGATAGAGCAAATGAAGTGGCCCACTGGTATTTAGTGCACGCGCAGTTAAGCGCAAGTCCGATAGGAGGGGCCCAATTTGATCGGTGTCCAGACCACCACGAACAGCAGCTCGACCGAGTCTGGTTGCCTGGTGTGGGTGTGAGATGATAGAGTAAAGGGGGTTAGAAATGCAGCGGTTAGACTCAGAAAAAGATTCAAATGAACAAGTAGACAATCTGGGTGAATATCGAGCATTCAAATGCGTTAAAACGTTGCTTAATCAACCACACGCCTTTCATTCGATGGGTACGAAGTTCAAATCCAGGACGGGACGGTAGGTATACACTACTGATGAGCTCTAATAAGAGCGAAATTCGAGTCTAGTGCTCCCGAGTGTATGGTTGACTGGAAGAGCTGAGGAATGTGCGTGAAGGTGAAATCTGAAGGATGGTCAGTTCTAGTCAATTAGTCAACATCAATTATCCCACAACACTACAGGTAATTGTGAGGTAAATGGGAATGGTCTTTTGGATCAGGGGCCGGAAGTCCTTTAGGAGATGATGGTTTGGCGAGTTCAGTCGATGTTACTGATGAGTACCGGAGTTTGGAGTCTACTAATGAAGCGATTCGATGGCTCATTTCAGTATACTATTCAGCAACATGAGCGAAGCTGCCTGCAGCAGTGGAAGAAGCCCGCCTGATGTGACATTTTACACAAGGAATCATCTACAAGGTACCCCCAAACCCTCCGACAGCGCCATCTTGCGACAGCAGAGGCGGTAGCAATAAGGTTATTGCGACCAACTCTATGCTCACAAAAACAATTCGTCAAAGCCCTACAGTTACCCTGGCCCAGACCCGACACTCAACGTCAATTAACCCATGAACCCTTTGACCTAAGTGTGTGACCTCTCCCTGTTTCATCCCTCTTCCCCCTTCCTCTTCTTTCTCTGTTTTCACGATTCCCCATTCTAAAACCATGGATGAACAACTTTTTGGTTTTCACCTCTTTCCTAACCACTTCTCACCACTTCCTTGCCGTCCAATCAACGCATTTTCGTTCTGACATTATTTGTTGCACGTTTATTCACTAAATGTATATAACTGTATTAGCCAGAGGATTAAGTTATCGAAAACGAGCTTGTTCGCTACTCGTGTTGTTCTGACAAGGAATTGTATGTATCACTGTCTTCTAACCACAACACGAACCTAGGGGACGAGAAAAGCACGAGCTTGTAAGTTATTACCACGATAAATCTTTGAAAGGTAACAAACAATCGATCTCAGTCTCCAAATTTGTCCCAATGGCGGACAACTGAGGGCATTTCTCAAAGGCGTGTTTCACAATCTCTCTAATAGGTGTACACAGAACAAGCTAGAAAAGTGTAGCTTTATAAAAAACACTATAAGCCGATAGTTATGAAGAGTAATTCACCGGATAGCATCACGACAGGTTTAAAGTAGAAAACAAGCCCATTCACTGGATTAAAAATAAATTATGGTATTTAGGTTTTGATGAATATTTTTATCAAACGCGTATTTTAAATTAAGCACGCCTCCCAATAACACAAGGGTTCGTTCAGGTTCCTAAACTCCACGTATCAAAACGAGACATTGTGGATTATGGTAAAAAAATATTATATACAAACTGATCATGATAGCTGCAGATCGGAAAATAGTGTGTACTTGGCGGGATTGAATCGTTTGTCTATTGGTAAGCTCATTAATTAGTGAATTCTTCGAACTGTCCTGGCAGCATAGTCGTTAGACTGGCTCATATTCCGAGCAATGAACGTAGACGGAACGTATCGAGAAACTAATATAAACACGCTTCCGTTCGGATAGTGACCGTTTTTTGATTTTTTCTTGTTGCGGAGTACCTGCTTGGGGACAGATATCCATTAATTGTTTGATTTTTCTGATGAGTAACCGGAAGCAGAATACACCAAGCATCACATCGCAGCTCAACCAGTCCCCTCCCCAGGGTGGCTGCCTCAAGTAGTTCTCTTGAGAGTGCACCTTGGTCACTATCCATGGGATCGCGCACAGGATCAGAGATCCGAGGGAACTCACAGCCCTTAAACGACTCAATGAAGCGGGATCAAACGACTTGCCACCTGCCCTCTTTAAAGATGGCGGAGAAGCTCTAGTGAGAATGTTCTCGAAGATCTGGGAAACCAAAAGTGTACCACACACACATGGGGAGAATCGAGTGTTATACTCATCTACAAGGGCTGAAGGGCTTCAACCACAGGGGTATAAGTCTGATTTCAATGGCGCCGAGGCTACTAGCGTCCGTTTTATTACGCAGACTAAGCCCATTGCGCGAAAGGCGAATCCGCAAGGAGCAGGCCGGGTTTCGTGTACGCCTTCGTTGTACAGATCAAGTCTTCACCCTCCGTCAGCTGCTAGAACACCGCCACACATTCGGAAAAACCATCGTCGAGTTTTTGGACATCAGAGCAGCCTTCGACTTCATCAATGGCTCCGCACTGTGGAACTGTTTGCGGAGATACGGAGCACCAGAGAAGTATGCTCTGCTTCTAAAAGCACCCTACCGCAGACCTCGTGGAAGATTAGGGCCTATGGTGAACTTTCATCCTCATTTTCTGTCACCAGTGGAGCACGACAGGGTTGCCCTATCTCTCCGTTTCTCTTCAACTTTGGCATGGATGATGTATCTAAAAACACGTTACGTAACATAACGAACACTGGCGTCGAGCTTCATCCTAGAGACAGAGTCTTAGACTTAGAGTATGGCGATGGTATTGTCTTACTCGGTGACAACGCACCGACGATTCAAGAGTCGCTGGATCGTTTGGCAATTGAGGCTACTTGTTATGGTATATCCTTTGCACCTTCAAAGTGTAAAGTGTTATTGCAAGATTAACAGCAACCGGTTCCTGCACTTTCGTTGGGTATTGACGCCCTGGAAGTAGTCAAAAGCTTTGTCTAACTCGGGAGTTGTATAACGGCTGCCAGAGATGTGGGCAAGGAGATATTTCAACGCGTGATTAAAACTAGACTAGCGTTTGCTAATCTTTGGCATCTCTGGCTCTGGTGCGACATATCCCTTTTACTGAAGAGGCATGTGTATTGCGCAACAGTATACGCCGTGTTGCTCTATGGTTGTGAAGCCTGGTCTCTCCGAGCAGATCATATCCAACGGCTCTGTATTCGACAACCGTTGTCTGCGCAACAATGCCGGCGTGTGATGGGAGCATTGCGTTAACAACGATGAGGTCAGATGACGTGTGCCAGGATCAGAGAGTCTTACATTCAGCACAACAACTTCAGGGCATCGTCTTAGGTAGATGGGGCATGTCTTACGAATGCCTGAGCAACGTCTGCCATACCGGGCACCATTTGAAGATATCGGTCCGGGCTGGAAGAGACAGCGAGGTGGGCAGGCTATGACGTGGCGTAAAAGGTTAAAGGGATTGTGCTCGGATCTGGGCTCCAAGGATTGAGATTGTCTTTGACGAGAGACACTGCAGAATATGACATCGAAGAAAAATCAGTGACGTGAATGCATCCATTTCTGTGTGCGATCCCAAAAATAAAAAAAATTGTTATTCCCAAAGGTGAATGTGTTTTGTTTTCCCTTTTCTGTTTCTATATTTTGCGTTAAACCCATAGTTAATTTGGTGCTGCATTTGTAAAGATCAGTGTTGAATACATATATCATCTAAAAAATAACCGATTTCTTTTAAGGGATAGATATTCATTTTCTCGCAATGGACAGCCACAAAATGATGAACCTTATGCGAACCAAGAATTATCTGTAGTTGACACGATGGGCGATGGTAATGCCACAAAGTGATCATCCTGACTTCCCCCATTGTGCGCTGAATGGTAGCCCTTTGATTGACCGCTTCTTCCTTCCTGAAAGTTGTTAATTTGCGTATTCAATAAAAATGAAGAGAAAAAGGAATGAAAGAAATTTACAGGCTAAAGACCGAGGCAATTTGAACAAGGATAAACCCCGAATCACCTACTGAGGACAGATGCTACATTAGTAACAATACCAATCGAGCTATGCATATGCACAAAAACTAACCTGGAACTGCAGTTTCTTTAGGTCACCGTGAACTGTCCGAGCAGGGGAAGAAGTACGAAGTGTCTCGCAAGATGTGGCAAGCACCAAGTCACGGCTAATCAGTGCGTGTAGTTCTGCATTAACGACCTCTTCGATCCGGTCACTACCGGCAAAACGAGCTTGTACAGCAAACAGGGTTGTCCGAACAGCGCGAAGTAGCTCCTCATGAGTTGAGGCAATCTGAACCAGATCAATATGCATTTAGTAAAAAGGAGTAACAGATCAACTATTTCTGTTCACAACGAGACGAAATAAGGGAAGTAACAAGCAATACTCGGGAGTTCATTGGCAACTGGCTTTTGTTAGGACACGGATACTCGAAACAATCGCTTGTGGTGATTGTGAGACAACACCCTATTTGCCGTAGAAAAGATTGGTCAGAAGATGGACTGCGTGAAGTTTTCACAACCATCAGGTGCTTGCTTCATAGTGTTCGACAAAGTATATGAAAATCTGGGGAAGTAGCATCACTCAGTTTGAAGGCCGTTCGGCTGAACAGTGCAACCCCCGTACCTCTCTTATCCGACGAATGGATTATAGCTGAGACACTCTGAATCAGCCGAGCTAACACGACTCATTCACATATAATGACATTGTCTGCTGGAATGCAGATTTCGTTCACCGGCACTTCTTTCTTTTGTGTACTGCTTTGGTCTGAGATTTAACCAATCGAATCTAGCAGCACGATCCAAATTCCCAACTATACTTTCTTGATCATCCTTAATCTAAAAATTCTCAGATCTAGGCATTCACTCAAAATACTTTCTGTCTCGAATAAATGGAAGATCAAACTGTGGGTTTTAGTTATCATAGTTGAAACCTAAATTCTCAAATTCCGTTCTGTATTGTTCTCCGAAAAAGGTCAGATTTAACCATCACTGACTGATATTGAAGTGCTCAGGCTATGTGAACCGGGGTTCCAGCAAGTAGGAACAAAGTACACGTTTCATCACTACTACTAGTAGTAATAGTAGTAAGACATTGGCGGCTTACTGAAGCGACTGTTATTTCCATTTTCCTATCTCAAACACCGTTCTAATTAAAGTTTTTATTACGAGACAATTACTCGTGTATCGGAGACACTGTGCACTAATCAGTGATCATTTTCGTGCTTTTGGCCACCATGGGGGATCCACCAGCATACACGTTCTACCCCTGGTAGCATGTCATACATTTTCATAGCAAATCTTGTTTGGTAACATTGGGAATATCAAAAGCTAACTTAAACATATTGGGGACATTCACTTGCATTAACCTACTTGGCGCTAACCACACAATGTTAGTGATTGTCAAAGTCAATTTAGCTAATACCACACATCATCCTCGTGTCTTAACTTGCCGTATCCTATCATTTAACATTTCCCATGATCCTGATCGAAGTGTGTATATGACTCAAACCAATCACCCATCTCATAATCATTTAGAATTCAACCAATTTCAAAATCTTCTGATTTATTTGGTCCCACCAAGCAGGAAACCTTTCTTCTCTCTACCACCCATACCAAAATGTTGCTCACTTTCACAGTGCTAGATAATCTTTCCCATCTTCTATAGCCGTACTTACCAACTCCTGCTTTGCATTCATTCAGAAAGATAGGATTCTATTCTCACGCGACATATTTCTACGCATTCAGAAAAACCAATTAGCATCCTCAGCCGGGGGTCAGTTTAGCATAAGTACCATGCATTCGAACCGTAAAAAGCACTTACGATTATCTGGATACTTCGACCTCTAGGCGGCTTAAAGCGCGTTCAATTGTCTGTAAGCCATCGGATTCCTTAATTACCTCACTTACACTTGTTTTCCTGGGGCCCGTATTCCTACGCAGACGGAAAAGATTGCGACTATTACCCATAGCCGCAGCATTCTCCATCGCTTCATACTTTCCTAACCACCACTTCTCGCGGTCATTCCTCAGACTCTTGATGTACTGACGTTTGAGGGATTTGCGCGCTGTGTCATATGTGGCATCAGGAGGAAGGGTTCTACGGGCGTCCAGCAGGACAGCTGAGGTCGACGAGATCCATCGTTTGTGTTTTGAGCCTGCGCCAGGGTCCAACGTTGTTTTTATTGATATTTGCATTGCTTCCAGTGTTCATTGAGTCCTTCGGCTGGTGATTGACCTGACAGGCGAGTTCCGCTTCGAAGGCCGATTTGCAACAATCGCTGACGCTGTATCGTGGGTATCCGTTGTCGTTGGCTTTTCTGCGGTTGTTTGTCAGGCGTAAGGGGAATTTGGCTCGTAGCAAAGCGTGGTTCGTATCCACAGGTGTATACCATAGGAGAGGCAGTCCTCAATGGATCCATGCCAGCGGTGGCTGATGGCGATGTGGTCGATTTCAGTCCAGCACTGTGAAGCGGTTGGCGGTTTCCATGTAAGGCGGTATCGATTTGTGTGAGAAGTTCGTGTTTGACAAGAACAGTTCGTGGTCCGCGCAGAGTTGAAGTAGGCGATCTCCGTTGTCCGTCCGGTTGGCTGGAATTGCATGTGGACTGCCAAGAAGCCAGGAGTTTGTGTCATATAGGTCCCGTTAAGCTCCCTGGATGGGGACATCGGAACAATCCTGATCGGTGGTTAGGGACACTGAGTGATATGGTTGGAGTCGTAAACGGTGGCGTTCTTTTATCTTCTCAATTTCTTTGCAACATTTATCCACTGAAATTCACAATTTTCTCTTTGATTCCACTTTCAACCTTTCTGTCTTTTTCCTACGGTTCATCCAAATGGGCAACCAAAATCAGCGCACGAAAGTGCATGGTTACCGGTTGTAAAAACTGAAACTGAATTATCTATGCATCGTCATTTAACAAGGTAATTTTATCAGCATATTGTGTAAGTTCATAGCTCTCCTTCATGGGAAGCATTCATATCCACCATTTACTAGGCTGGACAAAGCATTCTGTGGAACATCCTCTAGGGCAAAGCTGGAACGAAACGGGGGATATAAGATAGCATTGTCGCAATTCACTCGAGACAGCAAGGGGCGACGCAAACTGGCTAAAGGCTCTAATCCGACACAAGATATGACAGCACAAAATTTTGAGGATTGGCACATTTCTCAGCAGACAGTTTCCTTATGCAGTCCTATCGACGGGATTGCACCGAAAAAACATGACGGCCCCAGTGACTGTTGGAAGGTGGAGGTATGATGAATGCATTCACGATTGGTGTCAAGCTCCAGCATACTCTTTGCTGGTTTGCTCGTTACGAGTATTGTACAATCTGCGAAGAATGACGAACGCCAACAGCTTTGAAGATATGAGAATAAGGTTCGTAGCCCCGTGGTTGGCGCAGTCAGTGCGCCAGCGCTTCGATCGATTTTCCCACGAGGAGACCTGTTTGGTATGCTACACCTTGGAGAACAGGACTTATAGTTCAAAAACAAGCTTTGATGCATCGTCTTTAACCAGAGCTCGGAGGTCACTGAAGTCCGGTGCTTTGTGACGTCTTCGGGCTTGGACTTCCTTGTGAATGGATGTATTGAAATAGACTACAGGCAGTTGCGCTCATAGCACGTGTTTTCCACCTGAGACAGAACAGTTTGAAGGAACTTCAGCTGGTAATAGCACGTTCCATATCTAATGCACGTTGAAATCACCGGATATCATCAATACCGAAAGAAGACAAAAGTCGCGAGATGTTAAAATTTCGTTGAATCTTCTCAATCGATGACGTAAAACAAACAGGCACTTATATAGCAAGCGTTACCAAACCCAGAAGAGGTCAAATCCAAGGTAAGTGGATTGATTGTGTCAAAAAGGTCTGCGCATTTAGAATCGGGTGGTATAATTGAACATAACGATTCACTAATTGCCTAAAGTTAAGCATTGTGATCACGTAACAGACGTTTTAAAGACGGAATAGCATCAATTGTGTTTTGTAGTCATGAGATGTTTGGCACAAGATGACTCTGGGTTTCTTGTGATCACTTGAACATCGGTTATGAACGGCGTCATCGTTTTCATCAAACACCAGATTTGGTGATTTTTACGTATGTTAACGTTGAGTTTACATCCCGCTACGAGTCGTGTTCCGTTAACCTTGCTATCAGAATGGATTGTCTGGCGTGCGTCAGGTTATAAGAAATCAGAAGAAATCTAGACGACGTATTCGGTCATAACTCACCGAGCCAGCAGAGTGCAAAACATTATTGATAAGTAAGTAAGTACTGATTGGTGTTATTAGGTGGGGTTAGTTTAGACTTTTCTGCTAACGTGCTCCGAAAGAGGGTTAGGCGAGTTGATTGAGACCGGCACCGTGTCGTGCTTTTCGAAAGCCTAACCAAACACAAGGATTTGAGGGGAGTGTTTCAGTACAATCGACAGCTTTGCATGCATTTCGTCATTTGTAGTCTATAGCAATGTGTTCGATCTGGGTGCGACGCTGGCTCGGAGGACGGACGCTAAGTGATGTACCAGTAAAAAAAGTGTATGAAGTTCCTACAGGCGAGAAGTAGGTGATGGTAAGAGCATGGGAATTTTACCCAAATAAACGACTCACACAGTCATAAGATTTAAAAGTGTGCAGGAACTTACCTGTAGCCCAATGAGGGAAAGCAGCAGTTGTCGCATTCCCTTTCCATTTTCGTACAGCAAACTGCTACAGCATAAACCGGCGGAAGCGATCTCGGATGCGGAGGAATCGGAGAGGCCGATACGAGGGATGGTAGTCAACATTTGGGCAAAATTGGAACGGTCATTGGGTTGGAGAATGGTTACACTTTCGCCTACACTGTCGAAACCCGCTCGACCTGCTCGACCAACAATTTGCTGATACTGGCTACCAGTGATGAAGGAACTGCCAATATATGGCTTTCGAATAATCACCCTATAGCGCGGAAAGCGAGAATGAGCGGCTAAATTACATTGTTTAAGATGGCAGACTATGTGAACAATTACAGGTATTGACCAAACTCGTGCAACATCCTGATTTTCATTACATTTGTTCCTCTCAATGCTTTATTCTTCTAGCCTCATTCACGGGATTGAATATGATATTGCCCCACATCAGATGCAACATATTTGATATAATATCCACTTGTGTCACTACTTCTATTAGCCACATGCCATTAAATTGTACAATTTCACGATTTCAACGATTTTTGCAAATGCATCAGTTGTAAGATAACAAGGTCACAGTAGAAAAC